AACAGAAGTCATGGATTAATAATAAATTAAGAGGTATATAAGTACGGAAGTTTCTTTTGCAGCCTTTAAATATTTTTGTTACTTCTTATTTTTAAATATATCCTTTCTAATAATAATAAATCATTTCAACCAAATATAGTGATGATCATCTTCATAATTTTATTCGTACAATTGATTTCATCCCCTCGTAAGCATTGTCACAACGAACCTTTTAGTCTATACACATGTCCCTCACTTGTTAAAATCCTCCATTGTTCTTACAGTAAGTTTCTCAGTAATTTAGGTTTTGGAATAGTGTAATTGGTGGATATTCCAAAATTAGCTTTTAAGATTATAGTTAACAAGCTTTCAAAACTTCAATTCTGGAAGACTATTTTTATAATATTCCCAAACTTAAATTCTAGAAGTCAACTGTAACATTATTTTGGAGCTCAAATTTTTGAATTTTTTAATATTTATTGTGATATATGATGTGTATGTTTATTTATTTTAAAATTATTAATTGTTATAATTGCAAGTTAAATAAATTATTAAATGATGACAAAAATACTTGAAGCGGACTTGTCAAAAAACAAGACTATAAACAACGAAGTTAAAAAAATTTCACTGCCTAATTACACAATTTTTAATTCTATGAACTAATGTAAATTGTTTTTGTAGTGTTAAATGGTTATAGAGAAGTCGAATGAGAAACCTATGAAAAAGATTGTGGATTATAGCAATGCATTTATCACCATACAAAGAAATCAAATGATTAATTTGCATTATGAAATTATCAACATATGAATTTATAGACCTTATATTTATTTTAATTTTTAAATTGTATATTTCTCATTAGTAGTTTTCAAATTTCGCAATAACCATAATCATGAGAGTATTAAAATATTGGTGTGACATAATATGCAAGTCAACTAAGTGGTGAAAAAAAAAATTTACTTGCTAATATAACAACAAATATGGTTAAGACAATAAAATATATTGTTTACGTTAAAACATCACAGTGAAAGTAACTTCATAATTTTCAAGCATATATACGAGTCATGCATTTTAAGAAAGTTTTAGAACTAAAATTCATTAGCTAATGAAATTGTTGGACATAATAAATGTGTGTATGAGCATAAAATGATTCCAATGATCGATAGTGTAAGAGACATATTTTAAACACATCTAGATGTTCTAAACTATTGAATGCTTTCAATATTATTTTCACATATAGATCAGTCAGTACAATTAAATTAAAGGGATTATAAAGGTTATTAGGTACATAATATTAGCCATTAGGTGTTTGATGAGTTATTAAAAATAAAAAGTTATTGTAATTTTACCAATAATTTTAACAATAAATTATTAAAAAATAATAATAAATTTACTATAAATTTATCAATAAGTACGATGCTTTTTTAAAACTGATTAATTTAAAAATTTAATAAATTATTGACAAATAATAGTTTAAAAATTATTTTAAATATTTAATTTAAAGCATGAATTATTTGACATCACTTGTCTTTTACATTTATTTATATAATAATTTAATTATCTAATAAACTAATTTTAAGAAAAAAAATTAATGAAACAATGATCAAATAAACAAAGTAACGCAACAAGTAAAAAAAAAAGTGTTATCATGAGTTGTATACAATAGTAATAAATGTAAAAAAAAAAGTATTCAAAATGAAATAAAAATAAACTCCTTGTCAACATTATAGTAAGCAACAACATCATCATCATTTGATCCATTTGAGTCATCCATGTCATGTGATGGTAAGGAGCCTTCAAAAATGGGTCGAAGAGGCATTTGGAGGAGCTTCTTACCAAAACTAAAGGATCTTGAAGCCTGCATATCCGTAAATAAGGTCTCTCTTTCTTGGCCTTTTGCTACTACTGCTAGCTCCTTGAAAAGCTTAAATTGTTTGATCTTCCTTAACTCCTGTTCCACAACTACTGACCTAGTCGCCTACTCCTAAATTTGATGAAGGAGTTATGCTCACTTCTACTATTGGATTAGTTATGTCTACTACAACATCCCCTACTTGAGGGCATATACACACTCCTTCAAGGGCATCATTCCCAGTTGCAAACCCAGTGATGGAGGGTGAGGATCTATTATTCGGTTAGTACCTCATCATATATGCAACTCTTGTAAGGACCTAAACCACCTAAGTGCAACCATCATCCTTGTATGGAGGAGGAGGAATATTAGCATCGGACCCAATCTCAACCAACGCCAATTTGTAAACTTAGAAAAGTAATAAAAGAGTTTTAAATTAATTTTTCAGAATATCGTTCTACAAGAAATTTTTCATCTATAAAGAATATTTTATTTTAAATGAAATAAAATAAAGAAAGATTTATATCTAAAAATAACTCAACTTATAACAATAAATTATTTAAGATAAATTCTAGGATATGTGATTTCACCTTTATATTTCTTTATATTTATTTTTAAATTAATTATAATTCTAATTTTTTTATGATTTTTAATTACTCATACTAAATCTATTAATACTCAATAGTTATACAATGTTAATAATTTTTCTCTAAGTTATTACCTTTAATGGTTATGTGAGGTAAAAGGAAGAGAAAACATAAAGAGCCAATGAGCTTGTTAATAATAACAATTGAAAAAGAAAAACTAAATTTTATCCATTTAATTTATTGTCTTGTTTTACCATATAGATCTATTAAATATATGTAGTACAATCACCTACAATATAATTAATTATTGTATGTTTAAGGATTGTCAATTCTAAACATACAAATTATGGCGTAATAAGATAAACACCAATTGAAAAAGAAAACTGAAATTATTAATCATCAAAATCACATAGAGTCATGCAAAGAATCAACCATAACTCTAATTATGAATTTAGGTAAACAAAATATAATAAAAAAACTAAAACAATAATAAATAAATTTATAGTAATTCGAGAAGTAAACACAAACTAAAAGAATCCTAATAAAAAAAGAAATTAAGAGAGTTCTTAATTATAAAATACACTTCCAAAACTTTAAAAGTCATCAATAGCTAGTTAAAATCAAAATATCCAAGTCATAGCTCTTAAGGTTCTTCAAATAGGATTTAAAACTCTAAAAGTTATCTTAATTTGATTTTTTCAATAGAGTACAATGGTACATATTCATTGAAGCATAAGTGTGTTGGTTGCTGAAACATAGGTGTGCTTGTTGCAGTGTGACTCTATTTTTCATTTAATTTGAACCTAAAATGCACTCAAACCTAATTGTAACCTTTTAATATTAAATTAGATGATTAATATAAAAATTAATATAAAATTTTAATAAAATAATAGTAAAAAATGTAGATATTTAGTGTAAAACTGAAATTCCATGTCAACCATAAATTCCTGCATTGCTGATCTCACATTATTTGCACACTTAATATTTCTTACACCCGTGTCAACTGAAAGCTCCATGTTTTCGTCCCACATCAATCCTATTCCCACCAGTATTTTCCCACTGTGACTAGCTCCACTAGAACCATCCTCATCAATGCTACCAAGAGTACCACTATTACTAGATACCATCTTCATAAATCAAAAAACAAAAAATATTGAATAGAGCACACACCAATGGGAAAGGGAGGGAATAACACAGCATAGCAAGCTTCAATGCAACAAAAGCCAACAACAAAGATCACGACCACCATAAGGAAGCGTGAAACAAAAAATGACATAACAACAATGTCATATAAGCAAAACGCGAACCACAACACGTAGCCATTATCACAGAACAACAATGTGTCGTCGATAAGGGAGAAGTGGGATTTTCAATGAAAGACGCTAAAAAATTAGGATTTTTAGATTTTGGGTGTGCAACCTCTGATCCACTTCAAATGTAGATTTTGACACACTTAGAGTGCACCACTCCAATGATTTGTCATTCCAATCTGACGCTCTAGTATGCACTGGCAAGGAAATCACGTCATCTGGCACACAACTCGCAGAAGGGCCAAAAACTCTGGATCCCGATCCCCTCATTTTTTGGCGCCAACTGCAGGTTCGGTTAGTGTAATCTTTGTACTTAAACAAAAATACAAAAATTACACTAACTGAACCCTGCAGTTATGAGAGGGAATTCTTTTCCGAAAATTCCTACTCGCAAAAAATAGAGATTAAAATAAAAGGCTTAAAAACATAGGAATAAAAAATATTTTCAAGCTTTTATTTTTATACACAAAACTTAAATACAATTAAGTGCTTTTTAATGCTATTTTCCAATCAAAATTAGAGTTCTTGACACAAAATTTAGATGTAGTATCATAGATATTTATCGGTACTGTTGTCCAATCAAAGTTGAAATTTTAGTACGAACTTATGTTACGGAGACTAGAGAAGAACACCAATAATGTCTTTGGTATGCACCTAAGTTTTATCCTTCCTATGTTATATGTGGCAACGTTGAAGTTCTGACCAAGCTTCGTTGAGTTATGGATCTCAATGAGTGCTTGAAGTTGTTGCTGAGAACATGCAAACATCCCACTTAACAAGCGTCATACACCATCTACATCGCTGTATGGGAAGCCGTTGGATTCTCATGGATAATGCTTCCAATGGAGGTAAATGATTCATGAACAACAACATTGTAGGTGTAAGAGGCCAGGGAACGCCACATCAACGCTATCAACAAAAATGCCAGAGAAGGGAGGGTGTGGTAGCCATGGGGAAGGAGGCGCAGCTGAGCGAGGGAGAGGTGGCGAGGGACATGGAAGCAGTGTCATTGAAGACAACGCTGTTCGAGTCATGTCGGTCGCATTAGCCGGCAACACTGCCACGCAATCGACGTCATTTTCAAGATTCAATAGAAAGAACACTAAGGCTGACATTAAATACTAAAAAGCTGGAAAACCTGTTATAATAACGTCTTAGTCCTACCAATAGGGCAAACTACATATGCCAGAACTTTTTGTCTTTCCGGCACTGCAATCCGTATTGAAGGTCAAGTGAGACGAACATACATTAGAGGATGAAGCAGAGTCGAGCAACTATAACACTTTAATCACATTGATAAGTTCACACAAAATCCCCAGTACAGCTTCCATTATGATTATGAAGCAGCTTTGGTTGCCGCATGACAAAGACAAAAATTGCCACGAACAAATGCTTCTGTGAAACTATAAAGAAAAAGGTTTTTCCGGGGGCTGGGGGGCGGGGATTATGATCTCACACGGAAAAAAAACAACTCTTCAAGATACCGGCACTCGCAATCTTTCTCTACATCAAAGGGAAAATAGGGACAAGTTGGGCAACAATCAACTAATAAAACTGTAGGCCAAATAGAAATTGCAGAAGGAAGCTTATTGTTTACCGAATTACAAGGAACTCAAACCTCCATTACCACATGAAGATAGGGACTGAATTCCACAACAGCCACCTTATACTTCCAATTTCATTTTAGAAAATTGAAAACCTTAAGGTATTACTTGCCGCAAACAAGTTGTACTCTTCTATGATACCGCTCTCTTTTTTATTGCAACCATGATCTTTCTCAGCTTGATCTGTTGAAGCTCTTGGGTTAAAATCTCCAACGTTGTCATCATTTGGAGATTCAGTAGCTGGTTTACGACAAGTTGAAAGGGCTACAGGACCACCAAAATGAAACAGGGAAAAACCACTGTCTTGTAACTTCGCAGAATTACCATGACCAACTTCCCCATTCAATGCTGCTTTTTTTGAATTAGTTCCGGCTGGAGCAACCCCTTCTACAGTAGACCCATTAAGATATCCTTGCACGGATGCTGGCTTGGACATTAGAGTCAGTTCCTCTGTATTTAATCCTTTAGCTTTGGCAACTGGCTGATAAACTGGAATAGCAGTGGGGTTAAATAGGGGTGTTGGTTGAGATAAGGCACCATATTGCAAGCAGAAGTTTGGGTCCTCATTTAAGCTATATCCAAGAGGGGCAGCATATAAATAGTGATTTGGGTGTGGAAAGGATATCAACCCATTTGTGGGAGCAGCTGGCCATGAAACTGGATTTTGATGGTAATAACCCATTGCTGAAGGAGTCTGGAACACTGGAAACTGTAAGTTTTGGTTTGGTACTGGAGGACGTATGCTTTGAGGTTGAGAACACATATTAGTGGAGGAAAAACTGTCATCAAAATTATGGCCTATTTTCACCACAGGATTCCCCAATGCATCACCTCCTGCTTCATCCAATGGTGGACCAAATACAGACCTGCTCACAAAACCCTCATCATTTGCATAATGAATTTTCTCAATCCCAGCTTCATGAGAGCTAGACAGGCCATTGTCAATGCAGGTTGAACTATCTCTCACTTCAGATTGTTGGCTAGCATCTTCAGAATCCGACATTGAGGATTCTGTATTTTCACGATTTGAAGAGGTTGTATTATTATCACCTTCGCTAAGGCATGATGAGCAGTTATCTGAACTAGAAGTGCTACCTTGACAGGGATCAGAAGAATTGTTCAAGGCAGTGCCACTTATCAGACAAATTCCAGGTTCCTCAGATGCAATTTCTGTGGAGCTGCAAGATCCTTCAGCTTCAGTATAAAGATCATTCTGACAACTTTCAGCCATTCCATTTCTCTTCAAATTACTATCCCCATCTTCAATTTGACCTGAATCATCAACCTCATCAATAGATGACCTCATTGGATCAAATTGAAATCCTTGACCTGTGGACCCTAATGTAACATCAGAATCTGAATTACTACAAGCATACTTCTTGTGTGACTCCAAAGGTTCCCAAACTTTCTTTGTTTGAGGCAAATCCCTACCAGGATTGTTCCCTGCAATGACTCTGCTTTTGGGTCTTCCATTACACTCATGCATGAAGTCTACATGATTATACTTGCTACCACGATAAAACTGCTTAGATGTATCTACCATAGATTCAGACTTATTAGCTGGTTTTGTCTCCCAACTAACTCTATTCAGTCTATTATTCAGGCTACAACTGCATGAATGGAAATCATATCTGTCACTCATCCGGCCGTTGGAACTATAGAACTTCTCACTGCACTTGTGACTGATATTTCTACCACTGGATTTTGCAACATTTATTCTTGACTGCCTGTTTAATCCATTGATTCCCCTGGAAGAAGTCCCAAAGTTATCTCCGTAGTGTCTTTGCTCTGATCTTCCAACCATTATATTATTTTCTGAAACAATTGCATTATGGCGCCTGTCAGACCACTTCATAGGTGCATCCAGTTGAAATTCTTTCCTAAATCTAAATCTTTGACGATAAAACTTTGATTGTTCGACTGTAGAAGTATTATTCCTGTCTTGTGAATTTGCAATGTCTCCATCACAATCAACATAAGAGTGGTCTTGTGCATTTGTAATGTCTCCAGCAGAATCATCATAAGAGTGGTCTTCTGTTCTCAAAGTACTACATTCTCTAGATAAGTCTTCATCTTGAATTTTAGGATAATCACCCTCTGTTACAATGATTGAATTCCTGCATCTACTAGAATTACTTTGCTCTATATCAGCAGCTGGAGACAATTCTTCCTTCCAGACTTCATGAGATCCAGGAACATCAACTGATTCCAAACACTTTCTTTCTTTATCTCTCTCCTTTTCTTTTAGTCTTTCCTTTCTCCGCAGTTTTTTCTCCCTTTCTTTGGTCCTTTTCCTCTCCTTACGTTCTTCTTCTTCACGCTTTTCCTTTTCTTCTTCTTCAAGAAGTTTCATCTGTAAAAATATCATGTCTAGTATTTAGGAAGTAAAATCTCAAAATAAAAGCGGAAGTTCTGTTTGTTCGTTTTATTCCAAAAGCATGTTCCTAATAAAAGCATAAAATTAAGACCTGCTTTTCTAAAGTAATGATTTCTTTGCATGCTACATGAACTCGCTCTTCCAGAAGTTTTAGTGCAAGACAAACGAATATGCTGTGCGCATTTTGGCGTGCTGTTCCTTCTCTGAAAGCCTTTTCAACCTGGAAGGATAAGACATGCTTACTCAGTTAGCAGTTAAAAATGACAGATGCACACAAAAACATGACAACCAAGGCCATTGCAAATGGAAAATAATCCAAACAACCATAGCATATACTTCTAGGTAGATTGCTAAATTTCAAGTGAAAATCACAAATTTTGAGCGCAAGATCCCACAGTTTATGACTAACCCTAGCACATATTGTCATTAACTAATGAATACCTTCATCTCAAATCAACTGGCAAATTTGTTTTCTATGTTTAGAGCTGGAATGTACCCAGATTATCTCCCATTTAAATTTAAACAGGTCTTACTAAAGTTGCTTCATCTTCATTCAAATCTAAATAAGATTCCATGCAATCAGTAGTGAAATAATAATAATTCAATGCACATGTCTTCTCAACTGCATAGCGAAATCAATGGGACTAATGCATTTCCTATTTCACAGTTCTCCACTCGTTTTTGAAGAAAATCTGAGTAACATGAACTTCCCAAAAACTCAAAACATCATTATTTATGTTTATTAAGCCAAAATGTATGACAAAGAAAAAGACAAGAAAACTAAAAAAAAAAAATAGTATGTTGAATGCACTGAACTTTGTCCACAATATAAAGGCAAAAGGATAAGATTCCAATGAAATGTTTAACACACCTAATGCTATCCCAAAACCAAGCTGCTGATCATTATTAATTTATCTTACCAATTTAACATTTCATTCATTTATATTGATTTCACCCCTCATTGCACCAATCACAGTGTTATGTGAAGACTAAAACATTATTCTTAAATAATTATTGATGAAAAGACCTCAAAACTCAAAAGACAATATAAAGATGTCCCTGGCAGGAGAAATCAAGATAGACAATTGGGCAATAAAGATAAAGCAAAGCATACCTGTTCTTTAAATATAACAGTAGCAGCATCTAGAAGAAATTCTCGAGCAAGTTCTGGGCTCTTTGCATGCTTTTGAGGACGGGAACATTCTCCTTCAAGCTCATTTCCATCTTTGTCCATCAAATCATCATCCTAGAAGCATGTATTGTATAATTAACTTATGAAACTTGGACAAAATTCCTCATAAACAATGTTTAAAAATTGCATGAATTATGGAAATAGCAAGGAATTTAATTCTCCTAGTGAAACTTGACCTACATCCTCTTCTTCTGCCTCTTCAGCATGCTCAAAGGATCTTCTCATACTTTCCCCTTTTGTGATTGTAACATAACCATCTCCTACAAATAGCCTACAATGTACACACCGTTGACCCTTTAATGCATGGGCTTTAACAGAAAGTTCAGTGCAGCGTCCATCTTGCTTCCAAGCTCGGAGGGTGATGAAGCACGCACTTAAACCACCAAGATCAAGGCCACTGACTTGGACACACCCATTCATTCCAACATTTTCAAATTCCAAAATGTCAGATTTCCCTTCAGTTGTCCCCACAGCCCACTCAAAGTGATGATACGAACCCACAGCATCTCCAAATGTCTGGCGCCAATCAGCCTGAATTGAGTCAATAGATACCTGCCAAAAACAAATTATTGAGTTAGGAAAAATGTCAACTCTAATCCTCACATGTAGCTTGATAAAACTACCATTTCCATAAGAATGTTACTATAAACTCTCCCATAGAAATCCCAATGATAACAGATTTCACACCATAGAAATATGGAAGTCACACCTCATATTGGAAGGCAGTATCAGCAACACAAAACCAGCTGGTACAACGAGGTTCTCTGCGCATTCGTTTGAGCTCTTTTAGTTCCTTGAATTCTCGAATAACGTTTCTTCTACAATCCCTGCAAAATCTCTTGCTATCAAACCTGAAAGATGGAAGATAATCATTTAATAAAGATAGGGGATAATCTCTTCCATAATCTATATATACAAAACCATAATTCCTTTTTATTGTTTCTTTGTGTCCCTTAAATCACATTTTATGTTCTAAAAATCTAAATTATGCATAATCAAGCTGTGTTTCCCTTCAATAAATCCCCTTACAAACAAGATTGCCATACTCTCACAACAAAGTAAGCAGACATCACTGCACTAACTACATAATTACCTAACATTTGATATTAGAAACAAGAATCACCATGAAGTTGAATTCAATTCTGAAAACAGTTTATCAATCAATTATTTTCTCCATATTCATGATTATGGAAACAACTCAAACAACATCATCCTTTCTTATCTTATCATCCACGTCTGTCGACAAAGTTCCCAAATATCCAATTGTTTTCGTTAGAGAAATAAAAGAAAGATTAATTGGCATCCGCCTAACAACTTCAGCATTTAGGAGATGTAATGCAACTACTATATGCTTAAGCTATTGGAGGAGGTCCTAGAATGGTTTAATGGGCATAAAAATTGCACAATCCCACTTTACCTTGTGCAGAAATTCAACTTAGTTATGAGGAACAACAACAGAAAGGGTGAATTCTAAACTAATTGGTCAGAGACTCCAAAACCATGTTGAAAATTTAGATAGAGTAAATACAAATTTGGGAAGAGTGAGAAAGATAGACAGAAAAGAGAGACAATGCAAAAAGGATGTATGATGACACCATGAAAATTGTTCCCAGCCTATAGTCTTATATTAAATACTAGAGGAATATTATGAGCATATTTTCTTATTCAAGCTCAATTCTACAGAATCAATCCCCAATTAATCCCCTTTAATTTTAAGGTCAAGGCTTCCTAACTTAATTCACAAGACTTTCCTTAATAGTTTTCTACACTTTTAAATGTCTTTCACAAAATCAAGTTTCTTATCCAATTACTCATTTACAGTCCAGAAAGCCCTAGTATTCAATTAATCTTACCTTCCATGATGTCACAAAGGAAGGCTTTCCTATAAAGAATCTAAATCATTCTGCATCTTCAGGTCTTAATGTCATACTCACGATTCTAGTATGCACTATAACCATATGGGGTAATGATTTCATTTAAAATATCCAAACTATCCTAAGCAAGATTGGGACAAGACCTTTGAAAGCAGACAGGCTCTGGCAATGCATGAAATATAGACCCAGCCCTTGGCTGCCCCCTTGATTGGTGAGCTTGAGGATCAAATGAAAGCAGACAAAATATATGCTAATTCAGCTGAGAAGAACTGAAGACCTTGCATCACTGACCAACATATAATATGCAGCTCTAATCATACAGTCTATCCTTGACAATATTCTAAGGGTTCATCTTAAAACTTAAGTCCATGAATCACAAAAATATGGCCGGTTCATCTGCCTGATTGTGTAACCGACAAGTTTTTCCATTAATGCAGCATCATTTATTCTTCACTTACTGCATTCGTTGTATGCTGCTGATCCACTTTGGAAATCCATGTCCATGGTAGAGCTCCAACATTCAACTTTTAAACTTCAAGCCAACAGCTCAATTGTCCTATAATCTGGCAGATATCTAATTCATTAAATTACTCGCATAGGAATGTTAAGAATATCAAACAGCAAAAAGCTATTTTTTTCTCTTTTCTTCCCAGATTTTTAGGGGAACAAAATATTTGATCCTGCTGACAATCCATATTCAGGACACTTAAGCCCTTCAGATGCATGTCTCAATTTACATCCCTTCTATATCAATTTCAATTGTATAACTGCTTCTAGAATGAGAATTTATATTATTATTCCACTGATAACAAGCTGTCACTTATCTAATCAAACAGTCTTAGGAGTGTACAGATAGATAGACACCTGTACATGAGTCTCTCAATAAAATCTTCTTCCTTCATCCTTAAAAGTGATTGTCTTGTCTCCTCTCCAAGTGCAGACCAAAAATCCACCAGTGTATCACATGAAAGTCGGGCAGTGTGCAGGGCACAGGTTTCTCTTGTCCCATGCCCTCTGCCATAACTAACTATTCCTTGGCTTATCCAACCACGGCCTCCTCCCCCACAGGCATCAGGATAAAGCAGTTCTCTTTCCCGCTCCCTTGCACGTGCGCCATCAAATACCTGATACAAGGAAAAGTTAAGCTACCAAACAGGAAAAAGGGCAGCCTGAGAACCCAATGTTCTGCACTTACAATTTGCAGTCCTTTCAGAGATTTTGAATACAAGTAACAGTCCATTAGTGTCAGTGAACCCTCACGCGTTGTGGTCAAACCTCCCCAAGGATGGACAGTTGGATCTTGAATTTCTTCCTGGACAACATTAATGACGGATGATCCACCGGTATTTTGATTTGTCAAACCTCCAGGTATGCTGCAAGGAAAGTGAACGGTCGCTCCCTCTTGCTGCAGAGATTTCCCATACATAACAATCTGCAAAAAGCCTTCAAGGAGCAACCCATTGCACCTGGAGCAGTACATATTTTTTCGCGCCTGCTCAAAAAGGGTTTGCTTGTCTATCCTCAAGAGTTCCTGCCGAGCCTGTGGTGGCAGCTCACACCAGAACTAAGAGAAAAAAAAAACAATACAGACAATAAACATGTTACTAATTACAATCTTAAAAAAAATGGTAACAAGCACAAGCAGTCCTATATCTTAGTAACATTTCTAGTGCATGTGCAATCCTTTTCTGCCGCCATTGCTCCAACAATTTCACTACTTGCTTACAATGATTGAGGAGTCACTGCCTCAGCTAAAAAGAAAGTTATCTGGAATCTCAACCTCGAGCTACGCAATGCTTGTTTTAAAAAAATGGTACATATTAGTATACTACTCAGCTCGAAATATTACAGATTCACATGTAACATTAGTTTTATTTTATATAGCTCCACCAGACACAGTGATGTGAACAACGAAGTAAACTGAAATTCCATTCGTCAAACACATACAACCGAATCAACAACAAAAACATATATAAAAAAAAATCCTTATATCCTAAACCCCCAATAAAAGCAATGAATGCGCGAATTGTTTCAACTGCAAGATCCAATACAAAGTCAAACAATTCATTATTAACAACACAACAAACAATACAAAAACAGTGATCCAGCAACATCGCAATTGACAAAATAAACAAATAAAGAAATCTCGGAACTAATTAAAATGATTTTAAAAGAAATAAAAAATACAAAAATAAAAATTGGATCGAGTACCTTGTGGAGCTGATTGTAGCTAACATCGTCACGATTCCTGGACCAAAATCCATTCGATAGCGATGAGCCATTACTACTGAATTGGTGATTCCCATGCTCTAACGCTGGCATTTTTTCTCTTCTCTTATTCTTTCAGACCGAGCAAGATTCATCCACCAACGCTTCCATTCGTTTGAATGATTGAGGATCCAACTTGATTGAATTTTATTAATCTGAATCGAAATCCAAAGGGAATAACGGATTGGAATGATTCATAGATCGAGAGGGAGAGAGAATTGGGAGAGATTTAGAGAGAGAAAGAGCGGGCTATGATTGATGACGATGATGAAGATGAGATTTGGTGTTTTGTGAGACTGCTTGTGTTTGTGTTGTGGTGTGTCGTGTGTGTGTGTGTTATATATTCTTAGAGAGGGAGAGAAGAAATGGTGATGCTAATGGAAATGCTAGCTACAGCTCCATGGGTAGCACTAAAAGTGAAGGATAAAATTTACGTGATGTATTTAGGACCCTTTTTTTTTAATAAATTAAAGTTTATTTTGCTCAAAAAACTTGTATTTTGTTATTCTGGATTTTTAAAGAAAAACTTAAATTTTAGTTAAAATAGTATTAAAAGTAAAACAAACCTACTTTAACTCTTACTTCTTTTCTTTAATTTTTCACTCCTCTAGTTACGTGATTAATTTCACAACTTATACATAATTTATGTTTCAATAAAATAAATATTTGAGTATTGAAATTGACCATGTTAAAATATGTAGGAAATTTAATTAATGCTTATGAAAAGGGTGTGTTAAGTAATTTTCAAAAATGAAATTAATGACACATTCATGTTTATAATTCAAAATGTAAAAAATTCATTATTAAGTTAATATATAATAACGTTTTATTTTGTGTGTAAATTTAAGTTTAAAAGTTTATTTCTATACAATGTCATGTCAATTAGCAATCTTAATAAGTGCTCATTAGTAAATAACGTAGTATTTTATACATATTTAATATATATATATATATAAAGTAGGTTATATAAATAACTCAATAATTTGTTTAATTATGATTAGTCCAATTAATAAAGAATAATTTTACCTTTAGCAAGAATGTGAGGTCAAATCTTATTAGAAATGAGAGGTATTGTTAGTATGGGATCAAATGTATCTGACACCTACATTTTTTTTTTCTTTTTTATAAAAAAAATGCATTAATATAATAAAACAGTCTATATAAATAACTCAAGAATTTTTGAATTAAGATTGGTCGAGTTAATAAGAATTAAAATTTATCTCTCGCGAGGACGTGGGATCAAAACTTATTGCAAATGAGAAATGTACCTAACACTTAAACTTTTTTTTACCAAAAAAATTAAAAAAAATAATTATAAAATTAAACACAAATATTAAATATGTAAAAATAAAAAATTATGAAATTTTATGTTGATTTCATAATAATTTTTTTCTAATAAACACTATTATTCAATTGTAAAAACAAATAAATTGTCGGTTAAGTATACATCATTAGCACAAGTATTTACTATGTGCATATTTTCATTTTTCAGTCAAATTTATAATTATACTTTTCAGGTTGCATGAAAATTTGGGCTAAAAAGAGGTTTATTTTCACGCACTTCATGATAATTATTAATTTTATTAAATCATTTTATTGTGGGTATTTTTTCTCTTTACTTTAATATTTTTAGTAGATTCAAAATTAATATACAATTTTTAATCTTATATGTTTTTTTTTATAATTTTAAATATACAAAATATAACACACGTAAACATAGTAGAATCACGTGATATTTATTAAAAAATATTAATGAAATTATAAGAAGAATCTAAATATAAAAAAAGTTTATTCGTATAAATATTAATTAAAGAACTAATTTATAAATAAGTAATAATTATAAAATTAAATATATATTTTAATTAAAAAAAATTATGGACTTATTTTTAAAAAAAGTACTGAATGAAAAATTCACAAAAAAATAAGAAATTAAAATTTGTATCTTAAGTAAATTTATATTTAATATGGTGTGATATCTTAAAGATAGTGATTTTTTTCTTTTTAAAAATTATTTTTAAATATTATATAAAAATGGATGTATGATAAAAAATTTAATGTTGATATTTTATTTATTTATTTAAAAATAAGATAAAAATATAAAATATAAAATATTAATTTAACTCTTATGACTAAGTTTAAGCAACTAATTATATAAAATTTTTATTAAAATGAGAAGGATTTGTTTACAATTTTATAATTTTAATATAATATATGTATATATTCTTTTTTAATAAAAAATTTTACTTTTATATGTTTAAACTTAACTCTACAAAAATTATGAAAAAAACATAAGATTTTTGCCGCCTCCAAGAAAGAGAACATCTCTTTTCTTATTTGCATAAGGGAGTGCTTTCCTCTTTACTAGGTTCCCTCAACCCCTAGTTGTAGAGGCCTCTCAAACACTATAGAGGACCTGGTAACCATTAAAAACATTCCTAGAGGAATTTTTCCTGAAACTCCTATCAATGGAAAAATTAAAAGTAGAAAAATGCACAACAAAGGAAACAACCCTGATTGTTTGGAGCAAGAAAAAGGTTAGAATAGTCCCTTCATCTCAATATATCAATCTAAAAGAAGACATGCAAAAAGAAGATGGCATTGGAGATTTGGCTAATTAGGTGTCATCTAACATTAATCCTAATATCTCATCTTCTTATAAGGATAAGGTTTTAGTGTATATGGATCTAGATCTAATCCTTGATGGTAATAAAATTGTAAAGTCTGTATTGGGTTATTTTGATATGCCTATAGATAACAATGACAATGAGAGTCTAGATCTAATTGATAAATCCTTGAACCTTTGCCTTGAAATTAAAGTTCCTTTAGAGGACTATAAAACTTGGTGCTCTCCCTGAAAATGAATACTAACTTTAAAACTCCTAGGAAAATCTATTAGGTATAGTTTCTTGAGTCAAAAACTGAATAATATATGGAAAAAATAGGTCTTTGATTATGTCATATCTTAATAATAATTTCTTTTTAGTAAAATTTGAAAGCTTATAAGATTATAAATTTACTTTATCTGAGGAGTTATGCCTCATTCTTGATCATTATCTTGACCAGAGATGGAGGCCATTGTTTAGGCCTAAGGATCAAAACCTTAGGAAAATAGTTGTCTAGGTCCGTATTCCAAACTATCCCCTTGAACTATATAATGAAAGATTCATTTGGCAAGTAGGAGGTTGCTTGGGGTTCATGCTTAAAGTTGATCCCCACACCTCTCTAGTTTCGTGTTGTTTGCAATCTAAACACTAGCATGTGCACTAGGATTGCAGCAAGTAATGAGTAAATTTAAGATCCGAGTATCGTCTCCACAGGGAATTAGGAACTCAATTATCACTTCACAGAAAAATAACCATTTGAGCCATACGAATTTGGGAAGAGAGTTGTATCATATAAAAGCAATAATCAGAGCAATCAAAAGTAAAAAACTTGCAGAAAAATAGAGTATAAGATTTGTGATGAAATGAAATAGCAATGAAGGATAGTTAGGAATTTACTTCACAAGAATATCAATATCAATCCAATTAAATCCTCTGAACATTCAAGCAATTGAATAATTGACAATCAGTTTCACATATACCTAGCCAAAGGTTAATTCCTTAACTCATTGACCATAACAATCTACTAAACCTCTCTAATCCCTTAGGTGAGATTCAATTTTAGGTTGCATTAAGAATTAGAACTATAAGATTGCAGAATTAGGTCTCCTTATCCCTAAACTCTGGTTGCCAATTCAGATCGGAGCAAACAATCCAATTCTCATTGGTAAAGATTCCTCTTGATTAATCAAATGAATTTCTATTCAAAGATTGCATGAAAAGCAGAATTAACAACTCAATTAATCCAAGAACTTAAAGTTCAGAAGATAAAGTCGAATCAATACATCAATTCGAGTTCCATAAACCCCTAACTATGGGAAATTAAGCACACATTGCAACAAAAACAGAGAAAGAAGAAGAAGAAGAAGAATGCAGAGCAGCTATGGCCACGAGCTCCAATCCGATCCCTCTTCTTGGAGCTTCAAGCTTCGACCCAATCTTCTCTCCACTCTCTCTCAACGAGAATCTAACTAACAAAACAGAAAATGAGCAAAAGACCCCTAGTTTCGCGCTTCAATCATGTATTTATAGAAACCCCAGTTCTGCGCGTTGTCACTTTTCTTCACAAGAGTAACCACGCAGAAGCTTTATGTAGTGCGCGTGTTCACTTTCAAGAGCAAGAGTAACCACGTGCAACTTGCAGAGTTGAAGGCTTCTCTGGAACATTCACTTTAATTCATAAGAGTGGCAACGCAGGAGGTCGAGGGCTGCGCGTGATTACTTTCGTGAGTAATAGTAATCACGCGCAAGCTGTCCTGATACAAGTGTCTCTAGAACGCTCACTTTCGTTGGCGAAAGTGACAACGCGCAGCTCATCAGGAATGAAGTCTCTCTGGAACGTTCACTTTCGTTGGCGAAAGTGATAACGCACACTGGCAACGCTCACTCTTGTAAATAAAAGTGATTACGCACAGACTCCTCTTCTCATTTAGGCTCTGGAATGATCACTTTCACTAACAATAGTGATCATGCCCAGCTTGCATCCCATAATTCTTGTATTTTGGAGTCCAACATTGCCATTCTTCCTCTTCCTTTCCATTGATAATTCATTGTCATGACTTTTGCTCAGATTATTCCTTTAAAAACAAGATAAATTCCTTAAAAACTAAGCATAAATTCTACAAATGCGAAAATAACTACAAATTGAAATAAAACTTTCAATTATTCTCTTTTTCTGAGTTTTTCTGCTTTCTTTATATATTTTCCTTATTAAATGAGCTAGAATTATGCTAAAATATCAGTAAAAATATGGATTCATCATTTCGAGAGGCAGAATATGTGTGAAACTAGACCATAGGAAAAAACTCATCCCTTCCTTCAAAGTCCTAGGACATGAATTTAGGATAGAATATAAGGAGCTACATTTGATATGCTTTAATTGTGGGAGATATGGGCACAAAATGGACTTTTGTTCAAAAATCCCTATACTTAGTCCTGATACCAATGAATCTAAAAATGCCCAAAATATCCCTATGGATGTAGCTGAAAGTGAACATGTCCTTTTATCAAAATCAACTCAAGATAGCCTCCAGGATACTATAGATAATAATCTTCCTGAGAAATAAGGCAAATTTGGACCTTAAAGGATGTTTGGTATCTAGAATCTTTTTAAGTGAGATTCTTAGCAATCTGTTTCCAGAGTAACTTGTTACCCATATTTGTTTACTATGTAACTTTTCCAGAAATCTTTTTATTTTCTCTCATTCTCATGTTTGGTATTAAAAAAAAACTTACCCGTGAATATTATTATTTTTACAAAAATACCCTTAACTTATAAAAAATAAGAGCACATGCTTACCAAAGAGTAGAAGCAGAG